TCCTGGAATTCTCTGGGGAAGAGATCTCCCTTCCACATTTGTCCTCCCCTTCTCACCAGCTTGTCCACTCAGTTGGCTTCTGAGCCCTTCAAGATTGGTGCCCTAAGGTGCTCTCTTTTGCCCTCCTTCCTCTGTTGGTAATATTATTGACCTTCTCCAACCATCCCATGTTGGAATAGAGGTTGTGCATGTGTGCATATGTGAGTATGCATGTGTGCATATGAGCAAGGGCATATGTGTGTATGAGTGTATGTGGAGTGTGTGTGTTTGTGTGTGTGTGTCTCATGCTGGGTAAACACAGATGGGAAGAGAGTACAGGGCTTTGGAGGCTCCCAGGCTAATGACTTGTAGGGCATTTGAAATGTGAGCACCCTTAGCGGGGTGCAGTGGCTCACGCCTGTAATCCCAGCACTTTGGGAGGCCAAGGTCAGGAGATCAAGACCATCCTGGCTAACACGCTGAAACTCTGTCTCTACTAAAAATACAAAAAAATTAGCCGGGCATGGTGGTGGGCGCCTGTAGTCCCAGCTACTGGGGAGGCTGAGGCAGGAGAATGGCGTGAACCTGGGAGGCGGAGCTTGCAGTGAGCCGAGATGGTGCCACTGCACTCCAGCCTGGGCGACAGAGCAAGACTCTGTCTCAAAAAAAAAAAAAAATGTGAGCACCCAACCAACCACCGTCATCTGTGGCAGGGCCTGGATGACACACAGCAGGATGAGCTAAGGAACATAGAGGTGCTGGCCACCCAGGCCCAAGGTCTTCTCAGTGACAGGAAGAGGCGGCTAGGCCATTCCCCCATTCTAGGAGAGGAACAGGCAGCACAGTAGCCCGGTACTGCAGACTAGAGTGCTGCCTGCATTCTGGCATCCTCTATCTCTCCAGTGTTTATGTTTTCCCTGACCACCTCCACAGCAGAAAGTCCTCTGAGGGCAAACGTTGTGTCCAAACGGTAATTTTACCTTTTCCTGGTTTCTTGTCTTAGTTTGGTAACCACCAAGACCATCCACACCAGAGACTATCTATACCACACATGTCACCAATGTTAGATACATTTCTGCAATTTTCTGATTGTGATGGCCAATCTAGCCCAAAAGTAATCACATCCCTTTCTTATTTGTAAGTGGGAGTCTCCCTCCTTGTTCAGAGACAAGCCCAAAGAGCTCAGCATGCCCTCTAATGTCGCCACGTGCTCCTTGGGTTTTTCCACATTCACCAGGGGCGCCTCTCCCCTTTGTCTTCCCTTCCCTCTCTTCCTCCTCCCTCTATTTTTTCCTCTTCCAACCTCACTCTCTTCTCCCCATCAGACTGTGTTCAGGCCTTTACAGTCTTAAGAAACAGGAAATGATGTGCCCATCCAAGAGTTCCTGTTGAATGTCACTCATTAAATAGATTTGCATTACCTCATCTCCTTCAAATACATTCATGAGGTACAGATGAGGCTGGGAAAGAGGCGGGCCACTGAGAGGATGCTCCTGAGTTCCAGCCAGCACATCTATATATCAGGAGTCAACGTGCTATTTATTTCCCCTTTCTGAGAAAAAAAAAAAAAAAACTCTACTTGAATAAGCAGAATTCAGAATGATTTATCTTTTTCTGTTGTTTTTCAGGCCAGACTTCGTATGCCTAAAGAGCAACTGGAACTTTTAAAGTGAGTGAGTTTTTTTTGCTATATGTCTCTTTTTGGTGTGATTTCAAATACTAAAATGTTTTTGTACAAAAAAGCATAAGAAAGAAAAGCTACTCCCTGAAATAACTCAAAATTTCACTCCCAGAAATAACTATTATTAATAGTTAATGACATCATTCTTAGCATTTCTCTATGTATATATGCAGATGGAAAGAAAGGAGGAAGAAAAAGAAAAAAAAGAAGATAGAAAAGATTAAAGGGTTAGAGGTGAATTAATCTACTCCTGCTGTGTTTAGTATTAAAAATAGTACATTTATTGTTATTTGGATTTCTCAGAAGAAGGAAACAACCCAATTAAAGTTGCCTCCTCTCACTTGTGCATCTACATAATTTAAAATTTTAAACACCAAACAGTAACATTTTTAGTACTTTAGAAAATTACTTGCCCCTTTATATATTTCTACTTCTATGGAGCATTCCTTAACAAAATACACACTGAGGTGTGCTTTCCATGTTATTTATGATAATTAAAAATGGAAAACAACCCTATAAGAAAAATAGACCAATGGTTAACTACATTGGAATATATTCACGAAATGAAGAATTATAAAGCCATTTAAATAATTTTAAAATAGGTTTAATCATTTGGAAGTGTAGTGGAGACACAAAATTATAAATATTATTTCTATTTTGTTACTAATTTTTTGCATGGAATAAAAACTGGTAGAAAGTCATTAAAATTTAACAGTGTTTATTTCTTCTAAATGCTTGTTTTTTCCCCAATTTTAAGCATGGATTGTTTTACAAATGGGGAAAAATACTAGATAAGTAGTGTTTATACTTTTTCAGCATAAAGAAATACCTATTCACTTGACATTTTCTTATTCTCTCTACTAGTAACTTTCAAACTGTAAACACAGAAAACCCATTCTTGGGAAGTAAAGTCTTGCATGCTCAGGCTGTCAATCTGGTAACCGGTTGCTGCCCACTGGCTGGATCCCCCAGCACCCCTTGCCCAAGGCACTTCCACTGAACTCAGGCTACGGTTCAAAAGCCACTGCTCTGTACTACACTGGAAATGCAAGGTGTTCCCAGTCAGAAGGAGGGTACCAGTGGGATTCAGGATTCACCTGTGCAATGTCACCCAGCTGGGGGACCGCAAGGTTGATTGAGCCTTGCCTGTCGTCCTGTGCAGAGCCCGGGCAAGCACTAGGACACCCTCAGCCATGTGACCCCTGGATGGCCTCGGGTTTTTTTTTTTTAAGTGAAGCATGATGCTTTAGAGAAATGGGTGTGCTCTGCTCTCCCCTCACTCAAGAATGTATATCTTCAACAATATAAAGCACCTCATCACGTGGCAGGCTCCGAAGCCCAGCCACAGCTGATAACAGGAGCTTTACACTTTCTTCCTCTCATGCTGAGGTTCTCCCTTTACAGGAAGGAAAGCCAGACTCTGGAAAACAATTTTCGTAAAATTCTACTTTTGATTGAACAAATAGATGTCTTGAAGGCATTGCTTAGAGATATGAAGGATGGTACGGACAATAATCACAGCTGGAACACCCATGGAGACCCTGTGGAGGACCCAGACCACACGGAGGTCCTGGATGAGGCAAGGCGTGTTGGGCGGGATGGGGTGGTGGATAGTGAGGATGTCCAGGGTGACGGGGAGTATGTCCTTCCAGTGTCACATCCACTTCTTCTCCCAATGGGAAGTCCAGTGTTGACTGATATTTGGTTCGTGTACAGAAACCCACTGTTTCATAAATGCTGTGTCACAGAGAAGACATTCTATTGCATATGACTTACTTCACACCAAAATAAATAACTCTTCTATTTTCCAGTAGAAAGAAAGAAAGAAAGAAAGAAAGAAAGAAAGAAAGAAAGAAAGAAAGAAAGAGAGAAAGAAAGAAAGAAAGAGAGAAAGAAAGAGAGAGAGAGAAAGAAAGAACAGTCTCTGAGCTCTATAAACAAATACCTTAAATAGCAAAAGATTTGCATTCATCATCTTTGTAGCTAATGCAGTTAGTCTAGTCAGCATCAGATTCAGGCAAAACTGTGTTGGAAACCATGAGCTGTTTTGCTTCTTTCTCTTCTGCTGTCATTACTACTTTCTTTTTCTTCCCTAATGTCTACTTTTTGAAATACGCAGCAATCTGACACAGACCACCTGCCGCCCGCCAGGTCCCATTTCATCCTTGTCACTGTGAGGGTGTTACATTTAGGCAGCTTGAACTTAAACTCTTGCGCCTACTTAGGGTGCTTATGGTTTTGTTTGTTTGTTTGTTTGTTTGTTTGTTTTTGTTTTTTAGAATGACAGCATCCTTCAGAACCCAATATTAATTAGAGTCAGTGAAAAATGTCTAATATAAGTAATCATGTAATCTGTGTAAACTGCCTTGATTCCCAAGTAACTCTAGAATGTTCAAGTCTTTCAGTCTTTACTGCCAACCACAGGACACTAATGAGGGATGGAACACAGTAGGTCACAGCACAACCTCACCTCACACCTCACCGGGAGGGCACTGTGATGCAGTGGTTAGGGCTTCAGAAGGGACCCTAGGTCCACCATGCTGCGTGACCTTGTGGGAGTCCCTGAACACACCTTGGCTTTATTTACGTCATATCCCTGAGAGGGACACTCCCAGGAGCCGTGAAGATGTCAGTCCACGACACATGCACAGTGCCTGGCTCAGAGTGCAGCTGATAGGTGCTCACTGCTATTCTAATTTTGCAAATTAGGTCCAAATCAATAAAACAAACGGTCAAAACTCAAGCAGTTGGCAGAGATTGTTAACAGAAAACTGTTTCTAAAATTTCTACAGGAAATGTCAAACTTGGTCAATTATGTACTTAAAAAGTTGAGAGAAGACCAAGTCCAGATGGCTGATTATGCTCTGAAGTCGGCCGGTGAGTACAGAAAAAGTGAAAAGAGGAACATTTAAAAAAACAATGCTTCAGGAGTGTCTCTATCCTCTACATTTGTTTATGAGGAAAACATGTTTATCTGGTAACTTGAGAGGGGGGAAGTTAATCAATTTAGATAATAAAGAAGAGAATAGAAATAGTTGTCACTGATTGCTTTCTGTGTGCAAATGTTCCAGGGAATAAAGCCTGTGCAACTTCATTAACATGCATCTAAAAGAACCACCAAGAAAGCCAAGATGCCACAGTGAAGTTGTGAAAGGCACAAAATATTAGGACATTTTACATTATTATATACTAAAATGACTATGATAACCAATCTAAATGCATTATTAGGGATTAAATGACAGTGTTTAAAGGTTATATATAATGTTCCTAATATATTTCAATTAAAATTAATTCTGAAGGGCTAAGGCTATGAATCATTAACCTTAATCTTCTCTACCATGCTCTGCCTATAATAGACTACGAACAATATGTGTTCAGTGAACAATGTGGAAGGAAAGAAGAAAGGGACAGAAGGAGAAAGGAAATATAAAACACATAGTAATGCTAATTTTAATCAATTGATACTCAAATTTATGCCAGGGAAATAAATTTCCAGCTTACATGAACTGGAGAGCATTTGGAACAGCATGATTACTCAGGTTTGAGAGTGTGTGTTTTTTGAGAGAGTGAGTTAGAGGGCAGAACTTTCCCGAATCTGATGCCCTAAAGCATGAGTGTTAAGGTAAGATGGGAGAAGGACCATAGTTCTTTATTTTTTATTGATTGATTGATTGATTGATTGATTGATTGATTTTGGTCTTGGCATTCTGATACACTTTTTAAATGCTTTCTTCTTTGTATTGATGTATTTACATCAATTGATGTAATTACAACTTCCATTTTGAAAAGCCTATGATGACGAATGTAGGTGCACAAGTAGCGCATGAAGAGTGAGGAAAAGAAGGAGATAATCGGGCTTCTCTGGAACCATAGATGTGGAAACAAATGTCAGTTCTGCTTTGGCTTTGGCCAAGATGGAGAAAGTCGGTTAAGTCCCTTCCACCTGATTACAATGAAAAAAAAATCTGGACAAAATTCAAAAAGCAACTACCTGAGTGGGCTTAAAAGTAAACAAAGCAGGCAGTTGGAAGAGGGGAACCAAAAACTGTAGTTGTGAGCCTGTGGGAGTTTCCTTTTTTCTTTTCTTTTCTCTTGCAGCGTAGGCTGAGGCAGGCAGCAATTACAGAGCTGCAAACGTGGCAGCAGGTTGGGCAGCTAAAACTGAGAGAGGCCCCATTTTTCTAGCCAAAGACGCAGAATAAAGTAGTTCTGTGGTCCAGAGAGTGTGAGGAGAAAGCCTGGGAAGGCAAAGCTGCAAAAAAGACGCCTGCTCCCCTGTCTGTTTGTGGCCAGCTTCTGGCCTCACCTCTCAGCTGCCCATTCATGGGAACAGACCCAAAGCAGCAAAGTGGAGGCTTTGAGCATTTGGCAATGATGTAAACTATGGCTCAAGTCTTGGACTAACCCCTGAGTGGTACATGGACATGACAGGCCTGTAGCAAAGGTTTTGAGGACTGAATTGAGATTGGAACCACCACCCATAAAAGGAGGGAGGACTCACATTTCTAGGCTGATTGATGAAGCAAATGAAAGCATTCCCTAGTGGATTTTTATGGGACTCAGAGTCTTACGATATAATATTCAGTATGTCTAGGGTACAAATCACAATTACTTGGCATGCAGACTCCTAGGGAAATAAGACCAACTACCAAGGGAAAAGACAACAGATGCCAACCTCATCATGACACAGATGTTCGAATTGTCACACAAAGTTTGAAGCAGCTAGCATAATTATGCTTTATGAGGTAAAAGTAAGTACACTTGAAACGAATGAAAAGATACCTGTTCTCAGCCAAGAACCAGATGGAATTTTAGAATTGAAAAATACAATATCTAAAATAAAAATTGACTATATATGCTTAATAATAGAAAAACAAAAATAGAGAAAAAAAGTAGTGAAGTCACTCCTATTTAACACAGTATTAGAAGTCCTGGCCAAGGTAATCAGGCAAGAGAAAGAAATATAGGGCATCCAAATAGGAAGAGAGGAAGTCAAACTATCCCTGTTTGCAGACAACATAATCCCCATAGTCTCAGCCCGAAAGCTTCTTAAGTTGATAAACAACTTCAGCCAAGTTTCAGGATACAAAATCAATGTGCAAAAATCACTAGCATTCCTATACACCAACAAAAGTCAAGCCAAGAGCCAAATCAGTAACGAACTCCCATTCACAATTGCCATAAAAAGAATAAAATACCCAGGAATACAGATAATTTTGGAGGTGAAAGATCTCTACAAAGAGAACTACAAACCATTGCTTAACGAAATCAGAGGTGATACAAACAAATGGAAAAACATCTCATGCTCATGGATAGAAAGAATCAATATCATTAAAATGGCCATACTGCCGAAAGCAATTTATAGATTCAATGCTATACTTATTAAACTACCATTGACATTCTTCACATAACTAGATAAAACTATTTTAAAATTCATATGAAACCAAAAATAGCAAGGACAATTCTAAGCAAAAAGAACAAAGCTGGAGGCATCACATTACCCAACTTCAAACTATACTACAGAGCTACAGTAACCAAAACAGCATGGTACTGGCACAAAAACAGACACATATACCAATAGAACAGAATAGAGAACCCAGAAATAAGGTCACACACAACTATCTAATCTTCTACCAATCTGACAGAAACAAACATTGCAGAAAGTATTCCTATTCAATAAATGGTACTGGAATAAGTGGCTAGCCATATGCAGAAGACTGAAATTGGACCCCTTCCATACATCAAATATTAAAAAAACTGATAATGGAACATAGATTTAAATGTAAAAGCCAAAACTACAAAAAATAAAAATAAAAAATTAAAAAATAAAAAACCCAGGAAGACAACCTAGGTATTGCCTATGAAGTCACTCCTGTTCAACGCAGTATTAGAAGTCCTGGCCAGGGTAATTAGGGAAGAGAAAGAAATAAAGCACATCCAAATAGGAAGAGAGGAAGTCAAACTATACCTGTTTGCAGACAACATAATCCTATATCTAGAAAACCCCATAGTCTCAGCCTGAAAGTTGTATGTACCATTCAGGACATAGGCATGGGCAAAGATATCATGACAGAGACATCAAAAGCAATTGCAACAAAAGTAAGAATTGGCAAATGGGGTTTAATTAAACTAAAGAGCTCTGCACAGAAAAAGAAACTATCAGCAGAGTAAACAGACAACCTACAGAATGGAAGGAAATTTTTGCAAACTCTATATCCAACAATGGTCTAATATCCAGCATTTATAAGGAACTTGCACAAATTTACAAGAAAACAAAACAACCCCATTAAAAAGTGGTCAAAGGACATGAACAGACACTTTTCAAAAGAAGACCTGCATATGGCCAAAAATCATTTGAAAAAAATCTCAACATCACTGATCATAAGAGAAATGCAAATCAAAACCACAATGAGATAACATCTCACACCAGTCAGAATGGCTATTATCAAAAAGTTAAAAACTAACAGATACTGGCAAGGTTGTGGAGAAAAAGGAATGGTTATACACTGTTGGTGGGAGTGTAAATTATTTCAACCACTGCGAAAGACAGTGTGGTGATTCCTCAAAGACCTAAAGACAAAAATACCATTCGAACCATCAAACTCATTACTAGGATATCCAGAGGAATGTAAATTGTTCTTTTATAAAGATACATGCATGCATGTGTTCACTGTAGCACTATTCACAGTAGAAAAGACATGGAACCAACCTAAATGCCCATCAATGATAGATTGGATAATTCTTATACACCAGTAACAGACAAACAGAGAGCCAAATCAGGAATGAACTTCCATTCACAATTGCTTCAAAGAGAATAAAATACCTAGGAATCCAACTTACAAGAGATGTAAAGGACCTCTTCAAGGAGAACTACAAACCACTGCTCAGTGAAATAAAAGAGGACACAAACAAATGGAAGAACATACCATGCTCATGGATAGGAAGAATCAATATCGTGAAAATGGCCATACTGCCCAAGGTAATTTATAGATTCAATGCCATCCCCATCAAGCTACCAATGACTTTCTTCACAGAATTGGAAAAAACTGCTTTAAAGTTCATATGGAACCAAAAAAGAGCCCGCATCTCCAAGACAATCCTAAGTCAAAAGAACAAAGCTGGAGGCATCACGCTACCTGACTTCAAACTATACTACAAGGCTACAGTAACCAAAACAGCATGGTACTGGTACCAAAACAGAGATATAGACCAATGGAACAGAACAGAGTCCTCAGAAATAATACCACACATCTACAGCCATTTGATCTTTGACAAACCTGAGAGAAACAAGAAATGGGGAAAGGATTCCCTATTTAATAAATGGTGCTGGGAAAATTGGCTAGCCATAAGTAGAAAGCTGAAACTGGATCCTTTCCTTACTCCTTATACGAAAATTAATTCAAGATGGATTAGAGACTTAAATGTTAGACCTAATACCATAAAAATCCTAGAGGAAAACCTAGGTAGTACCATTCAGGACATAGGCATGGGCAAAGACTTCATGTCTAAAACACCAAAAGCAACAGCAGCAAAAGCCAAAATTGACAAATGGGATCTCATTAAACTAAAGAGCTTTTGCACAGCAAAAGAAACTACCATCAGAGTGAACAGGCAACCTACAGAATGGGAGAAAATTTTTGCAATCTACTCATCTGACAAAGGGCTAATATCCAGAACCTACAAAGAACTCAAACAAATTTACAAGAAAAAAACAAACAACCCCATCAAAAAGTGGGCAAAGGATATGAACAGACATTTCTCAAAAGAAGACATTCATACAGCCAACAGACACATGAAAAAATGTTCATCATCACTGGCCATCAGAGAAATGCAAATCAAAACCACAATGAGATACCATCTCACACCAGTTAGAATGG